TATATATATGTATATAGAAAATGTGTATATATGTGTACATATATGAATATATATAGACACACACATACGTATACTGCATCGTAGATAAATCCCCGCTTCTCGTCTCTTCCTCCCTCCCTCCCACGTGATGACTAGCGCAGATTCCACATCTCGCGCGGCACTTTTCTCCTTCTCTCTCTGTCTCTCTCTCTCTCTGTCTTTCTCTCTCTCTTTTACCGGACTTCGCTTCGTAGACACACTGTGTTTCGCAAATCGATTTCTCGATAGAACCACTACTTCTATCGCGTGATCTCGGGCGGGAAAAGCGACAGTAATCGGCGAAGCTAATTGCGCGAATCCCACTTGCCGAGATGTAACCTCGCGCGCAGAATTTGCATTTTCATACTGAAATTCGCGGCCGTTCACTTTTCGTAAATTTCACGCTTTTTATTTTATTTAATTAACATACATCAATCAATATTCCTCAATACTCAACAACTGTTTTTATGCATGTGGTTGACTAATATCGTTTGATATTAATTGAATTTGAATTTAATTGATAAAATATAACTATTTAAATTTGTTTGTGCTAAATATTAACATAGAAATTAAATTTCGGTAATATACACACATAGTTACACACGCATTTATACATGTACCAAAATGTGTTTTATCCAATGAATTCGTATGCACGGTTCGTGTTGCGAATCGATTTTTCGATAAAGCTGCTTTGTCTGCTTGAAAATCTTAATAAAAAAGAATGGCCACGAGGACATCTTGGTTTCTCATCTCTTAATGCATCTCTGCGCACGGTAGAGAGTCCACGGTATAATATTTATAATTTATAACGAGGGATAGTAGGAGAAGGAGAAGGGACACAACTTTCCCCGGGCGCATATGCGGCGATTACGCTTGCGATATGTCAAAAATCATAATGTCTTTTAAAGTACAACCACTTCCGGATCTGAGTCGTACATCAAGACTTTATATATATATATATATATCTTTCTCTCTTCAATTATTCTTAAAGATCACTTTCTTAACAGTGTTTTCTCAAGTATCAAACACGTGTGACATAAATTAACAAGTGTGTTTAATGTACATACAAACGATAAACATGTGAATAATCATTAGATGATCTATTTTTATTAGTTTTTCAGTGAAATCGATATACAACTAGTTAAAAAAAAAATCATTATCCAAAGAAATTATTTGTATACAAAATAGAAAAAGTCGAAATGTTTCTTATTAATTGACACTACAAAAATACACGTGACGATTAAGTAGTTTTTAAAAACTTTTTAATTTTATTTGTAAAAAACATTTTATTTTAAATCTTCACATGTCTATATACACACATTCTCAACCGTCATCTAAGCGTAGTTAAAACATCGCGTGAACTTCCGAATTCTCTCTTTCACGTTGACGTGCATGCCATCACGCACGATGTCCTATTATGGTCAGTGACATTTATGAGGGACAAGATAATACGTCTTCGTCCATCCTCGCGATTGCACGTTACCGTCCTGCCGCTTCGTGCGGTGGACAGAGTTTCATTCCTGAGTTCCGAAGGCAACGTGGGCGTACGTGGTTTGTCTGCGAATTTTGTAACACACGTGAGAGTAGACCTCGCGCAGGCAGGTCGCTCGCCTAGAAAAAGAGGAAATGCCCGGTGCGGTCGTAAGGGACCAGGATATTAGTTTCCCTTTGCGGGAACACAAAGTCCGGGAGGAACGAGGAGGACGGACTCGACCGGGTGGGGCGCCCGGCTGACGCCACCGCCGTCCACTTGATTTCAGGTTCAGACTAAGAGGCGAGTCCAGGAACGGTGCTTAGCCGGTGTGGGATTGGGATTGGTAACCGGCTTTCTAGCCGCGGCAGTGTTGCCTACGTGCGTGCTATTCCCTTGCCTTCTCCGACTACTCTCCGGCGGTATCCGGCGTACGCTCGCCGCAGGCCGGGAACCCTCTCTCTTTGTGTGCGCTTATATATGTGTATCCTCCTAGAGAGTGCCACACGTACACATGAGCGCACGTACGTTTTTTTCCCCCCGTGGACCCGTGTGCCGCAAGTATTACACGCGTGTGCGTGTGAGAATCGAAGTGCAGCAACCTCCGAGAAGCCGATGAAACCGCGCGAGTAGGAGAGAGAGAGAGAGAGAGAGAGAAAAGAGGGGATAGAAAGAAGACAGAGAAGGAGAGAAAAGAAACTCGGCACGGTGCAGCGCGCCTCCTGGACGAGGGTCCAGTTTCCCGGGTCGTCCGCTCGCGCGTTCAGTTACTGGTTCTACCGGAATCCTCCTAGAAAGATGCGTCGCGATCACTGAACGAGTCGGAGAATCAGGATCGCGTCCGCTGGAGATGGCTGCGCCCAGATAGACACTTCGTGTCTTCGCGCGGAAGAAGTTGAAACGCCCGGCGGAAAGTTGCTCCGCGACGATGCAAATGTTCCAAGACGTTGCTTCGCAACGCGCCCGCCTCGACGGCAAAGTGGCGTCTTGGAAACTACGCTCGGAAGAATTCGATTCCAGAATGCAGATTACCTCGCGTACACAGCAAGAGAAGTAACACTCAAGATCGTGCGCTCGGTTCAGATGAGCTGCATCGTCAACAAACAAACACGCTTCGCGATCTGTCCGATATTTATTTCACTTTTTACACATCTTTTTATATAAAATTTTATAAAAAAAAAAAAAAAAAAACACAGATTGCTCGGCTTTCACAATTTAGACATTTTCAATCAAGCAAACACAACATCAGTTGTTATTAAATAGAAGAAAAGATATCATCTTTCGGAAAGATTAGATTAAGAGTAGATTTGTGTTTTTACCTATATCTCGTATATTTTTACCGCTTATATTTTTACGCGCGAAAATCGAAGTGGGTCACAACCGCGAAGGTAATTCAAGTAGCGTGTAGAAAATTAAGGCAAACTTGTCCGCTTTGTATGGATGTCGTTGATGTTTTTTTTATCAACCGTGCGACGGCATGAAACGGCAGCCGCAAGGCTGTCCCTTTTTAATCAGAACCAAGGAGAGCCCCAGGTGGAAGAAGACCGCGAGACTCGTAGCCTCTTTACGATCCCCCTGCGGCACTCCCTACCGGCAATCCATACATCTCTTCTCTCGTACGGCGGAGCCTCTCGCCGGCCACGACTCGTACCTTGTCCCCCGTCGACATCCTCCTTCGTGAAAGCACAGTACCTTTACCGTACGTTCTCTCCCAGGATCGTGACGGTAAAAGACCGCACCACCTTTTAACACCTTGCACACGCTATCGGGACTTATTACAGGTTTTGAAAACGGTCCGCAATCATCGTCGTAGAAAAGAAACACGGTCTACACAACGCGCGCCCGGCCGGGTCTAACACAACGGTTCAATCTTTCTGTCATCGGAAACAAATGACACGCTAAATTTTATTTTGCTCTCTTGCCCACGATTTAATCACGCGAGAAACGCTAAACTAATTGGTCTTTTTTTTTTTAGACCGTGTGAAGTTCTTTCCATGATCTTTTTTTTTTTGCATCAAAGAGGATTCGAGTCAAATAGCATATTAAATATTGCACTGGTACAATAATACTTCTTAAAAAGTTTTTGTTCAAAATGCGTTACAGCGTTGAGCTTTTTTCTCTTTTTTTTACGATTAGTGAGAGTCAACAGTAGCATCATTATTCTGAGTTTTCAATCAAAATAGGGAAAGTAACATAAACATTTGTTCGGTAATTGTTGCTGGTGTTGGTGACCGAGTTTACGCGTCGGAATCCAACAATCGATATCGGCAACACGTACGCACGTACGTACGCTGTTGTGAAAAGACGGTAAGAGTCGTTTACGAAATGCTACTTTGGTCGATCATCTTTAATCAATGTCGTCACGCAAGCCGAACGTACACCGCGTTTATCGTTATTATATTCGCGGGATAAATACCACCCACGTGCTCCTCTCTCTCTCTCTCTTTTTCTTTCTCTAACCCGCTAGTCCGTGTATCCAGTCGGCCGCACATGACCGGCTCTTCGCCTGACCATGGCGTGGGAAGGAAAAAGTGTTCGCTTCTTTTGTTCCAACGTTCTCTATTCATAAATCGAAACAGCGCGAGGCGGCGATCTAATCATCGCGGCGCGGCGAGTATTCAGCGAGAACGTTTATTATTTTTCTGACGCTGTGCGCGCTCGTCTCCCAGATGGAGAGTTTTCCCTCTTCATCAGATAATAATAATTACCGTTTTCGCGCGAGCGCATAATGTTTCTACCGCCAAATTTGTGTGTTATTAATTAGTAGTAATGATTAAAAATATCATTGTTCATATTACAATCATTATCGATACTAATAATACTAATAATGTCGATTCCAATAAATGACATTTAAATAATAATTATTATCGTTATTATGTGTTATTAAAACCTTAATTATTTCTACATCTGTGTACATGTAGCTCTATGTCTCTTTCAATTCGTGCGCTTCGTTGATTAAAACTAAAACGAAACTCCCCCGTGTCCGAAGTGCTGAATTGTAACAAAGTCGATTTTCCTTTGTTTTTTTTTTACAGACACTCGAAACGGCTCCTCCGAATTGGGGGATTTGCCAGCGAGCGCCGTTACAAGTTTAGGTGCCGTGGCGGGTGTTGGCGGTGAGGACATGGCTTCATTGTGGGCATCTTACGCCATGAGTGGTTTCAAGAAGACACCGCCACCGGCATCGTCGGCAACGCTCTCGCGGTCGGATCGCGACCGTGAGTCCAGTCCGCCCGGCGGCGAGGGGACGGGAAGCGCCCACGATGAAACCAGCAGTAGTGGTAACAAGGAAGAGGATAACGAGGATGACGATGATATGGATGTGGATGAGGGATTGGATCCGCGGCATCACGATCCGGAACGTCTCAAGGCGTTCAATGTAAGCATATGTTCTCGATCGCATATCTTTTCGTAAAACTTGTTTTCTTTTTTTTTTTTTTTTTTTTTTTTTTTTTTTTTTTTAGAATTTTTCTCTTTCCCTACACGACGCCCTTCCGATACTTACATGTGCACATGTAAAATATG